ATACTTGGCAGCAATATTGTATTTATATGTGGCCTGGCTAAAACAGCTTAACCACTTATATGGCCAGGGCCTGCCAGCAGACCCAAAGTTTTATCACACACTTCTATAACCTAAGAATAGCTTAACCAGTTTATACTAAAGTCCCTGTAGTTACTGAATAATAAGCCTTAGTGTGTAATAAGCCTGGGATTTTAAGGGGTTAATGAATTAAACTGAATCGAGAAGAGAGAATGAGAGATCTAAAATGTTATCTGACACTCCGCCTAACCCTAGTGAGTGTATGGGTCGTTCTCTGACTGGCTGACAGCAGAAACAGGAAACACATGCGCATACACACGCACTCTCACTCACATCTGCACTGATAGCGAAACGCAAGTAAAAACTCATTTCTCAAATACAAATGCAGAATGAATTAAAATCTATCAAAAGTAAATACAGGGTCCTACATTATGCAGAGAAACACTTTTCAAAGCACAGAATTTGCATGGCGAGCACTGAGCCGACACTTCATAACAAAAACCTTCCTTGTCTCTTAGTACTGTAACTTCATCTAGTTCCCTGTAGCTTTCCAATTATTCGGTTCTGTTTGCTATTCTCTCTTTGTTTGTAGTTTAATGTGCTCACACAGAGCTGGTCGGAGGGGGGATCTCCTACAGCTCCAGTTATTAATGAGATAATAAAAATGATGTGAACAAAGTCTCTCTCGGCGTGGACAGCTTTACTTCCTCTAGAAGTGTCTACATTCAGCCACTGTCTGTCACGCTAACTGGTGGGAAAGATGTAGGCCCCTGCATGAGGCCGTAATAGAGGAAGTTACCTCTGGGTCGCTGCCAGTGCAAGTCTGTGGGCTTTTTTGAGGAACATTTCATTTGGACTAACCCTTCACTGCTGTGTTATAAGATAAAAGAGGAAGTAGTGAATCACGAGCTTTTGGATTCATGCTTTAGTTGGGACAGTGCTGGAGGAGGGTTTAGTTTGAAGTCACATACATTATAAATATTCACGCAGCATCATACACTTTAAAAAAAAAAATGCCAGAAAGTGTTCTTTGGAGCAATACCATAGAAGAACCACCTTTGCTTTCATAAAGAACCTTCCAATTGATGGTTCTTTAAAGAATGTCATATTTCCATGGTATATTATATACTTATAAAAATAAAGGTGCCAAAAAGGATTCTTTGGAGTAATGCCATAGATGAGCCACTTCTGCTTTCTTTTCAACTGATGGCTCTTAAAGTAACACGCCAGGGGTTTTCCTCCCTATTCTGCTTCATCTGTAGGGTATGGTTGATTACCACGAACAATAATTTTGATATATTTGTATGTACTTTGTAAAACAATAGAAAACCCGTTGACCCAATAAATACTTAGGATAGGATTTTAGTGTCATTTCCTTTTTAAGGAAATCACACCATATCATAAAATACTCAAATTTCCTCTCTGGAAATTTGAGTTTGAGGTAGTAGGTAGATATTGTTAAAGCTTCAAAATATATCTTTCGCCCCCCCAGTCCACACAATCCATATCTGGAAATTAAGCCAGTCTAGACAAAAACAGCTTTTCTAATTCTAAGAGTGAAAAGGGTGGAAATGGTCATATAAAAATGAATTATGGGTGATTTTGGCACATAAACCTGAAACCTGTACAAATATGGACCACAGTGAAAAAATGAAATACAACAGTAATGTAGGATATGGGGTTAAAGGTTCTTTAGAAATCCAAAGGTGGTTCTTTTATTGATGGGGCATTTACCCTATTAGTGCCCTTTGTATTAGTATTAGTTTTGTTCTATTTACTAGTTTTCTTGCCTGCTACTCATTTGACAAACTCACTCGTCTGTGTGATTGACAACGGCTTTTCATGGCTGAGATGTAGCTTATGCATCATCCACTGACAGGACGGTGTATTAGAGCGCGTCATGCAGCGGCTCCGCACAGGGATGGAATGATTGATGAAGTGTTAAACAAATTGGGGCATTAAAGAGGTCTCAGTGGTGCTACAATAATGCTGCTGAATGGCAGTAGTGTACACACAGCAATCGGATCAGCAGATTCTGAGCAGTGAGCAGACAGACCACTGTGTGTGTACTGTATGGATTTATGTGGTATGATGGGTGTTAAAGCCTACAGGTGGGAGGCAGACTCACCAGTTGCCGAGAGCAGGCCAGAAAAGTGCACAAACAGTGGATAGCGCTCATTTGCAAAATATAGAGTGATGCACAAAACATATGGTACTTCTAACAATCCTTTACCCTTCTTATCCAGCATTTTCCCTTCTGATTCCCTACTGGAGGTGGTTAGGATCAGTGGTTTGTGGTTTGGGAATGATCTGTGGTTTAGCGGAACCGCTGTCACAATCGCTCAGTGTGGCCAAAAGCTTCATCCGCCAGGCAGCTCAAGTCCCCCCATCTGTGCGCAGGGTTAACAGTTGTAGGAGATGTTACTATGTTAAGAGTTACGCCTCATTTCTCTTTAATAGTCGCTTATAAATGAAAATCACGTCTGGAGCCGCCTCTCTCAGGAGCTGTCAGACGGTTGCATAGCAATTATCTGCTAACAAGGATTTATCTACGCTAATGTAGTTTTGCGTATTTTCCAAAAGAGAAAGAGGAATGGCGACAGATTCAAGCACAAAAGGGCATTTAGGCTTTTTTTCAAACACGCTTTGAACAGTTTATAACAAAACTGTCTCGCTATTTAGCATTTAACCCTCTCAGTGAAACCATTTTAGCGTTTTCCCTCTCACTGAATAGTCATTCAACACTAGTTCTCTCTTTATTGTTCCTAATCTGTGTGTTTATTTCTCTGGCAGGGCGTGTCGGGGGAGTTTGTCCCACCTGCTCTGCAGGATGAGGTCTGTTAGCAGGTCCCCCTCAGGGCACTAGGCTGCACAAAATGGTGGCTGTTCCTCTCACTCTGGACTGCAGAAGCAGTTTGGCATTGTGCATTATAGTAGAGGAGTGGAGCAGTGGATCACTCTCAGTGTCAGAGGAGATAGATGGCTAATTGTCTTTATTCAGATTTGCAATATGTAATAATGTAGCATATTAGGGTTAGTTGTCCAAACTACACTGATCAGCCATAACATTAAGAATCCTTGTTTCTACACTCATTGTCCATTTTAACAGCTCCACTTACCATAGAGGTGCATTTTGTAGTTCTACAATTACAGATTGTAGTCCATCTGTTGCTCTGCATGCTTTGTTAGCCCCCTTTTACCCTGTTCTTCAATGGCCAGGACTCCCACAGGCCCACCACAGAGCAGGTATTATTCGGGTGGTGGATCATTCTCAGCACTGCAGCGACGCTGTTGTGGTGGTGGTGTTTTAGTGTGTGTTGCGCCGGTACGAGTGGATCAGACACAGCGGTGCTGCTGGAGTCTTTAAACACCTAAGTGACTGCTGGAATGAGAATAGTCCAGCAACCAAAAATATTCGGCCAACAGCATCCTGTGGGCAGCACTGATGAAGGACTAAAGGATGACCAACACAAACTGTGCAGCAACAGATGAGCTATTGTCTCTGACTTTACATCTACAAGTTGGTAGTTGTGTCTAATACAGTGGACAGGGAGTGGACAGAATGTTTAAAAACTCCAGCAGCACTGCTGTGTCTGATCCACTTGTACAAGCACAACACACACTAACACACCACCACATCAGTGTTACTGCAATGCTGAGAATGATCCACCACCCAAATAATAACTGCTCTGTGGTGGTCCTGTGGGGGTCCTGACCATTGAAGAAGAGGGTAAAGGGGAGGGAGTAACAAAGTCACTCAAACATGTGGATCTTAAAAAGATTTTTGGTCATGTTTGAGTCACATTTTACTACTGGTGCTGATATTGATTCAGTATATCGGATCAGTGCATCACAACCATTGTTGTTATTGTTATTAGGATTATTGACATTATTAGAGGTAATATGATTGTTGCTATTAATGTTGATATTGTTTGGCATATTATTATTATTATTATTATTATACAAATTATTACATGAGAGAAACCACTCCACTCCATGTTTTTGGGTCATGAGTGACAAAGAGCAAGAAGCTATTTAAACTTATTGAAATTCACAACAACCATTCAGTTCATTCCCCATCACTAAACGGGATCGCTAGTATTTCTCTGTTTTACTAAGGCTAACTTCTCTCTCAGTCCTGGGATGGGTGAGAGTAGCCCCGCCCCGCCCCGCGCGCCCTCTTCAGCAGAGCAGGTAGGTTACCAGGGCAACGAGGCCCCGCCGTCCGCTCCGCCCTCCGCGCGCAGGACAATGCAAGCGGCGACTCGCGCTTCACAAACCCGAGCGCACGGTCCCGGTCTCAACACGGACACTCAGACTGGGCGTAAAAACGCACACTTCATGACCGACAGACCGCTGAGCGCGTGAAGGAGGTCAGAGAGGTCAGTGTATTAGTGGAGCAGCTTGTTGAATGACGGATGTGGGTGCGCTGTGTGACGTGCCCACCGGAGAAGGGGAGTGCACGCGACACTCAAACGCTGTAGCCCTGTATATACAAATAACACTTTCAAAGGTATATTTCTGTTTTTTTTTTATTAATGTTGACGTTTACTTATTATATTCACCTCCAGTGCGTGCACTCCTGCCCGTATAACCCCCTCCCCAAAACAACTGGCAACGGGAACCCTCACACGCGCGCGCCCCCGACCACACAAATGGGGGAATATATGCGATATTGGCTATGTATGAGAAAAAATGTTCAATGCCATTCAACATTATTTGCAACTGCGCGTGCCGTCCTGTTGGCAGGACGACGCGCGTGCCCCCTCGGGCGCGAGAGCGTTACTATACGCGGCCCGGGACTGGCACGAGGCTCCGCGCGTTGCTATGGCAGCTCGGTCTCGGAGCGCGAGGCGAGGGACGTGGCGCCCCGTTCCTCAGACCTGACTGACAGACTGACAGACTGACTGACTGACTTACAGACTGAGAGTTTTCAGTACAAGCACACAGACACGCACAGAGGAAAAAGAGCGCACTTTTACCGTGGACTTGACAGGCACGTAGAGCACGGGCTTCCCCGGCGCCGTCCCTTTCTTGTTGTGCTCGCCCAACACGCTGCTGCTGCTGCCGCTGCTGCTGCCGACCTGGAAGCCCTTGGACTTCACCCAGAACTTGAATTTGGCGTTGATGTGGCTGTTGTCCACGTACACGCCGCCGTCCGCCTCGTCGCTCTGCAGTAGCGTCTGCATGATCTTGTTATATTTCCTGCGCGTGACCGTCTTCGTCTTGCCCGAGTCTCCGTACGTGCGGAGACACCACTCCTGAAATTCGCTGAACATCTCCGCCTCCAGCACGACGGGACTTCGGCTCCGTTTGCTCGGGTCCGCGCACGCTTTCTTCGCTGCCATGAGCTGCTGCTGTTGTTGCTGCTTTTTTTCTTCTTCTTCTTCTTTCCTTGTTCTTGTTCTGTCCCTCTGCGCGAGCCGCGTCCCTGTCCTCAGAAACAATAATAACAATAAAAACAATCGCAAACACAGCCCAACTCTGAACCCTCAGCCTGCCGCTGAGATGACAGCACACTCTCCCCCCTCCTCTCCCCGTCCCGCTAACAGGACGATTTCCCCGAGACCGCTCGCTCTCAGAGACCACCCTCCTCTCCGAGCAGGCTGTGTGTGTGAGAGTGAGTGAGAGAGAGAGTGCGCCTATGTGTGTGTGTGTGTGTGTGTTTGAAGGGAAGCCGCACACCTGTTAGCAGAGCCGCCTCGCCTCGCTCAGCTACTGTCCCAGACCACCCCAGCTAATGTCCCTCTCTCTCTCTCACACACACACACATAGCCTACACATGCACACTCTACACACTTGCTCCTCCGTGGATTGAGTGAGAGAAGGCCGTCCCTTCGCAAAGATTCGCTCCCACCTGGATAAAAACACTCTCCTCAGTGAGGAGGGAAAAACCCCGGGTCTTCACAGCCAAACAACAAAGAAAAAAAACAGAACATAACAGGAGTGAAGGGCGGAGGGGGCGATCATTTATTCACCCTAACGGGCTTCACCGAGCCACTTTACCGCACAGACCACCTTAAATAAACTTCCAGAAGGGTAAATGTAACGTGTAAAGAAGTGCTAGGCTAATTCTAGCTGTGGTGCTGCGGTGTTTAGCTGTTAGCCGCCGTTAGCCCACTCAGTCTGTCCACCTGTTTGAATGAAGCGCTGCGGTCGAAACAAGACTGTAAATCTTTCCTGACTAGACTACAAATGATCAAATCTTTATCCACAGGGCTAGAGAAGAGTGACAGTACAGTTAAGACAACTTGGTGAGGGAGGACGTGTTTTTATATGTGTATATTTTGAGGAAGTGGAGGGTCTGCTGCTCAGTGACGAGGAGAGCCGTGTCGCAATCTGAGTGGAGAACAGCAACCAGCTGCTGAAACTGAAGGACCGAGCTCTGGGCTGCTTTGGCTAAAACCAACTTTTGTGGTGGTAATAAAGAGGAACGTTTATGGAGACTGAGGTGGGAAGGGCTAACAAGCCCAAATCACTTACAGTTATGGAGCAGAAGATGCTATCAAGGGTTTACATTTAATAAGCTAAAAGGCAGCGTTCCACAATGGCAGCTTAATATTGACGTTAACGTTTAATACTGACGCTATTAAATTATGTAATTGCCTTTACTGTTATTAGGTACGGTCGATATGACGTCACGATACTTGAAGACATTTTCACGATACACAATATTTCACAATATTTCACTATATTTAGTATTTCAAAGTTTTAATATGTATGAAGGGACAAAATCCTATCAAAATCCAGGTGTATAAGCTAATGATATTCTTTATTCACAGTTTTCACATTCTGCACTAGTTAAATAGGACTTTTTGTGCTTTCTTTGAGATGAAACATGCAGTTACCAGGATACGCTCAGAAAAGTTTGGAGTATTTTGACTTAATGTATGATGATAATCATAATGGTACTTAATTCTAAATCAAAAAGCGCTTTCTAGAAATTAGAGCATTTTTGCATCACAGAGGTGTAAAAGAAGTGGGGAGTGGTAGCTGTCAGTGTGAACAAAAGAAATGAAAAAAAGAATTTGGGGACAAGTTTTTTATCTGATGGGAACAATATGACTTCAGAATCTACAATATAAGCCAACATGTTTTAGTCATTTTATTTGCTACGTTGTAATTTCATTTGTGACATTGTCCCAGTTTTTCTATTGGGTTTGGTGAATCATTTAGCTATTTGCTGCAATGAAAAAGACAAGTCATGTCATTTGGGTGCCTTTTGTTCTCATGATTTTGTTGATTCGGTATTCCTCACCTGTCAGTGAATGGAGTAATCAATGTCGGAGACACATTTTCAGTACTCATCGTGCTGTTGAACACACAGAAAACAATGATTTACTGTTGCCAGGCCCTTTATCTTGCCATTCTTTGCATTGCTGCAAGTGGTCTGATGCAGTATGTGTTAGGTAAGTCTAAGGGGATATTTGTGCATCTGTGTGGTCTCTGTATGACCTCCATTAAAGGCATCTGCAATTTACTTTTACACAGTAATGTGTATGTGTCTGTGATGGTATATTATCGTGCTCTTTGTGTGTTTTACTTAGACAGTAGGTTACGGTGCTGTGTGTGTGTGCGTGTGTAGTGGTATGTGAGCATGCTCTGGGTGTGTGTGTGTGCTGTGCAGTGAGACTGCTCCGGGGCTGTGTCGAGGACCATGCTGGGACTGCTGGTGATGTCGGCTGCTGTTGCTATGACAGCAGCTCTGCTCAGGCTCTAGCAGAGGGAGAGGCAGTGCAGGACAGTCCGGATGTGCCCCAGCCCAACTCCACTGCTACACCGCTATTTCCTCAATCCTCCATAGTGCTGGTATAGTTAATTGCATTATATGTGGCATATGTATATTCTGTATTGTTTCTGTCATGTCAAAACCTTGAAACCCCATTTTTGTTCATTTGCCAGTTTTTAAAATGTCAGCCACCCTTTACATTGATTGAGCATTTCATGATGAAGTACACAGAAATAAAATCTAATTATATTAGCGTACGATAAAGGGGAATTCCATCAGTTTATAACGTTGGCATAATTCAATTATTGAGATGTAAACAAAGTCATTGAGACTGGTTAGATGCGAATGGTTAATTGCTGAGAAACTTACCATCTTGGGCTTTCTTCACAATGGTGAACAACAACACAAATGTAGCCATTTTATTTACTATTCAAAAGCACCAGGGAACCATAACACTGATAATGAAAAGAGAAGTGAATAAAAAAAAGAAAATGTTTTTTGTTTTGGGTGGGACTAGTTTGTCTTACTACGCCCTGCATGTAAATCTTCACTGAAAACCTGTTTTAAAAAATACATTTTTGGCCCAAAACCTTATCTCAAAAACTACAAACAAATCATAAAACAATATCTCAGGCGTCAGGTAGAGTATTCTTAAACATTTTGTGTAATAACTTGCTGCGAGAGCGCTTTTAGAGGCATTAAATACTTCAGACATCTGGTCCCATCCCCTTTGTTTACATCTTAATTACTGCATTTTGAAAAATCAGTTGATTTTCTTTTACAGTTAAGAATGTTTCTTGCACCGTCTTAGCATTGGCCCTATGATCATGGGACCGCGGGTTTGATCCCCGGTGATGCTACAGCCATCTGTGGCCAAAAGAGCACAATTGGCCTTGCTCCTTGGGTGAGTAGGATGGCCCTCAACCCCTCCCCCAGCACTCAACACAATGCTAGCTGGCGCAGGCGTCTGTTAGCTGACGTAACAGAACTGGAGGTTAGCGTTCTCCTCCAAGCAAGTTCAGATGTCCAATGAAGTTGCATTAGCGTCAGTTTGAAAAGATGCAGTGGCAGCTTCACTTGACTCGGAGGAAGCTTGTGTTTGCCTTCGCTTTCCTAGCACTGGTGGTATTGTGTGACTAGGGGAGTCCTAACTGAATTTGATACAACTAAATTGGGGAGAAAAAATAGTTCTCGCTTCTCCCTTTCAAGTAAATTCAGCTATGTTAAGGTGCCCCCTTTGCTTTGCGATTCAATTACACACCATAGGAAAGCATTGCCAATGAAGTAGTCATACATGAGCCTAAGGTCACCATGCCCAATGCCAAATGTTGGATAGGGGAGTATAAAGCCCCTTAGCATTGAAAATGCATTTTCTGATGTGATACATTGGGATGGGTTGGAGTGACATTTATGGAACATCAGTACCTGACCTCACTAATTCTCTTGTGTCTGAATGCAATCAAATCCTCCTAGCAATGTTCCAATATATAGCATAAAGCCTTCCCAGAACAGTAGAGGCAGTTGAAGCACCAAACTCTTTATTAATCCCCTTGAAGAAACATGGATGAACAAGTATCTAGGCATTCTCTTTCTCCATTTTTTCACCTTCATTTATTCAGGCCCATACATGTTCAGGGCCACACTGACCCTGATATATGTTATTATTGCCCAAAATATTGGAAAATCTTTTCTTTAGCTATGAATTTACTAGTGGACAAGCAAGTCAGTCAGCTGCTGGCATTCAGGTGAGCATGGATGAGCCTTCGTTTCTTTGTCAATGTCTGAGTGTTTCTCCGAGTTTCATCATTTTTGACTGAGCACTGGTCAGGGGGCCCGATGAGCAGTCCTGGACTGCCATTGTTTTGTGAACGATTTTTTTGGGGGTTGTGGTCGTGATGGTGGAGGTCTAGTGCTGCTGTTAGCGGATTAGCGTCCTTGCTCTGCTCTCGAGCAGACTGAGTGGGCTCGGCTCACAGCTTAACCCAGTGCTTTCACATTGCATCCTCAGGGTGCGATTAAGAATGCTGGCAGTAGAGAAAAAATGCTCCTTTTCGGCCTTTGTGTGCATTTATGTGTGTTTTCACTCGTGTTTGGTGTCATTCCCTTCAGTGCTCATCATTTTGGCCACACATATGCACACACACACATAAATATAAATATTTACGTGTATATATATATATATATATATATATATATATATATATACACACACACATATCAGATATGCAGATATCAAAGACCACCCCTTTTTCATTCAATACAAGTTCATTTTTCAGCACATGGAAAAAAGGGTAGAAAACAGAAATATATTTAACAGAAAATTGCACAGACTAACATTCAGTGATGTTGAGGTCTGGGATCTGGGGTGATCATTCCATTGTTCTGAGAACACTGCAGTTTTTTTTCCTTTTCTCAGTAATGGCTTCTTGACAGCTACACATCTTTTCAGATGCGTAGTGTTGAGCTGCCTTCTCACAGTGGAAGGATGGACAGAAACATCTGTGGATTTTTTCAGATCTGATGCAAGAGCTTGATTTTCTCCTGTCTCCCAAAGATGAAAGCTTTAAGTAGGGCTGGGCAATATGACAATATATATTTGTGTCGCAATAAATTATAACACTATACAGTACACTTTTCTGAACATATCGTGGATATCATCAGTGATTGTAGAACATTTTACACTAACAGATTGTTAGAAGTTTCATTTTCTCTATATCCTTTGATATCCAAAAGGATAAGCGGCTAAGAAAATGTGTTGTGTATGTATATCCTTTGATCTTTTTTTGTATTTCAGTTTTGGAAACTTTGTTTTTTACATATTTTCCTTTGACTTTCCCCTTTCTTATGCAAGTGGGTTATCTTATATCTAATCTCTTTAGACGATATCTTTTGAAAAATGAATAACTTGTACTTAAGGCTGTTTTGGCAAGAAACAAAATAAATGAAGGGTGGTCTCACACTTTTGCATGTAAACATACATGTATATATAAGCCTTTGGCTAACAGGATGGCTGGTTTCTGCAAAGTGTGTATTTCTTCTCCATTCAGACGGTGTGTGTGCATTAATGAACAGGAGAGGGGTGCTGCTCCAGTCTGGTGCAGAGCCTCTCTCGGTGTTTGTTTCATGCCATGCAGTTGGGATGATACGCCGCTGTTTATTTTTGCCAACTCAGGGTGGGTGTACCCAAAGCTGAGCATTAGCCCAAAACTGTCTGAGGAAAAAAAGCACACTTTCACATCATGCTGAGTCTTCCTTCCTAAGCCCCTCTTTTACCTCTCTTCCCCTCCCTCTCTCTCCCAAATATCTAACTCAGTTCTTTTCTCTGCTGTTCCATCTTCTTTCCTTATTCTCTCTTTGTCCCTCTCTCTCTCTGTCTCTCACTCAAGTATCTAACTTCCAATTTCATCTCTCTGCTGTTCCATCTTCCTTCTCTCTCTCTCTCTCTCTCTCTCTCTCTCTTTCTCATTCTCCCTTGCTCTATATTCTCCTCACTGTTAACCTTGAGTTTTTTCCACCGAATAAAGCCATGGCAAAAAAATAAACCTGAACTATGAAAACAGCAGTAAAATAAG